GCAGAACAAAACTATTTTTAGTGCCGCTGGAGTTTGGGTTACTGCAGCCATTGAATAGTATATCTGATAACTAGGTGTTACTTTACTTTTGATAGATTGTCCTGACAGATCTCGAGTAGGGCCCGTGATAAATGATTGCTACGGATACGAAACTATATCTTATACATTTATTTTTCTACAATATCGCTCCACGTCATTTTTGAAGTTAAATAATGTAGAAATGTATATATGCAAAGACAGTACATTATCTCATTCTCACATTCTAAATGTACCTGATTTATCTTGCACGAAAAAAAAATTGGAGTGTTGAAGTATACGGAATGACAACTTTGATAGCAGAAGGTGGTGCTGCTTGGCGACTAAATGCTAAAGATTAAAAATACCTTAGGAAGTGGCTAGTTAATTAAGTTTCTAGCATTATGAACAACAGTTATTTTATCTGTAACATCGTTCTTTTATCCTCAAAATAATAATTAATGGATGTTAAGATAGGTCACTGTTAGCACTCAATCTTTTCGTTTCCTTATACCACACGTTACGGAGTCTGCTGCCAGATTTGTATTCTCGCATACTAATGAACTTTATCTTCGGATTAATAATTATGCGAGTTGGTTCCACAAAAATTAGCTTTAATAAATTGCCTTTGCTACGCAGTATAGTTTCGTAGGCGAACTATCCAGTTCGCGAGGCAACGGTATCGGGAGACATGAATCAAAATATCTCTATGCAACTCTGCATTCCTCATCCGCTTTTGAAATGAATCTTCCGTGAAAGAGCTTTGAAGGGATCACTGTATCGCGTACATTCCATCGAAATGCATGCTGGCGGATGGAAAAAAGAGGCAATACTCATAAGAAGGCGCGGTTACGTTGTGAGCCTCGCAAGCGCGAAGGCGTTGGCACGCGTAGGGCGGTGCAGCGACTGTAGGCCGGTGGCAGCACGTAGGCGGTGGCAGCGGACTAGCCGGTCGGCAGCGACCGTTGGCGATGCGGAGGCGACTAGCCCGGTTGACAGCGCTTAGCCGACGAACGCGGGACACGGCGGCGGCGAACGACGGCGGGCCGACGACGGCTCGGCGACAACGACGACGACGACGGCCGGCTACGACGACGGCCGACGACGGCGACCGACGACGGCGACGCGACGGACGCGGCGACGGCGGCGGCGCGCGCGGCGACGCGGACGGAGCCGGCGGCGACGCGGGCGGCGGCGGCGGTTGACGGCGCGGCGCGGCGGCGGGCCGACGGCGGCGGCACGGCGGCGCTGGCGAACGACGGACGGCTCTTGGCTCTGAGCCGAGCGCTCCCTGAGGCCCCAAGCGTCATGCGGCGTCCCCCTGAAGCCTGGCGTCCAGCGCGACGCCCCGACGCCCGCCAAGCCCGGCCGTCCACGCATCGATTCCTCGCCCGCCCCGCGCCACGGCCCGCTGGGCGTCCCTCGGCGCTTCGCTTGTACCCTCCGCTGCCTGCGTCAGCCATCCGCACGCCGTGCCGCCTTGGGCCCTCGCTTTCGGCCTTCAGACCACGCCCTCTCGCTGGCACGCACGGAGGGTGCGCCAAGTTTATGCTCCAAGCGAATTGTGGTTCAGGGAAGTTAGGTGAATGCCCTGTATCAAGAATAATCATTTATATCTCTCTAGGACCTACTTAAATAATAAAACAATTTCTAATAAAAAATTTCGTATTTGAATGCATTAGGTGGTGATTGATTATAAATTGGTGCACAACGATTGTCAATAATGTGAAAATAATATTGTTCGAAAACGAAATGGTCTATTAACTAAACTAATATTTGAAAATTCACACCTGTAATGAGTTTTAAAAAAAATAATAAGCTCTTCTGTAGAATTTGAACTTGCGGTAACTCAGAGCTCATTTTTAAAAATATGTCTGATTTCATGTTTAATATGTAATTTAATCCGGAATCACTTGTATACGAGGTATCCCAATGGATTTTATGCGCTGTCAAAGTAATTAACGTTATATAGCTATCGGTTCAAATACTAATGTGAGATTGTGCAATCGTCCAAACGTTTCCCCTCTCCTGAACCTCACTAATTGACTGACAGTTTTCTTTGTCAAACGTAAAATTGTTGGCACTGTTTGAAGGTATTACAAATCATAACAAGTGTCCCCGTGCCTCCCATTTGTGAAATGCAGCTAACAGAAATATAAAATATACAATAAATGTATAATGGTCTGATACAACGTATTCATGTACGTGCTATTATTTTATAGAGACGTTAAACGATATTCATTATGAATGTTTATGGATACATAATGAAGAGCGTACGTCGACTAAAATGTGCTTGAGATAAATACTAAATCTCTCACGCTCCGTTTGCCCCTCGTTGCCACGCACCAAGCAGCACCATCCGTGAACCATCACGCTACGGAGATTTGCGTGGAGCCTCGGGCGGGATTACTAGTAATACCACCGCCGCACAATGCGAGCCCGGCCGCGGACGTGTGTTGTTGCGCTCTGGTAGACGAGCGGATTGTAATCTCTGCCTCGTCAAGCAACGCTCGCGGGCGATGCCCTGCGGATGAGCCGCGTCCCGTGTCGCTGTTGTAAGCAGCCTGCCCGTCCTTTGTTGGAATTGTGATACGTGATGACGGGGTCGGCTGACGGATTTGTATTCATGCCTCCGCCAGAGAAGTTAAACTTGGGATTAATGAATGTGTGTGTTTGTTCGTCAAAATCTCTGTGGTGGCAATGCGGGGGAAAGAAGGGGAGATTGGGATGCTGTTAATTCGAGGGTTGGTCCATTCATTGGGATGAATCGCGTGTCGGTAGTAATTTGCTCCCTGGAGGTGGACTAATGGCCCCGGAGCTCGTCCCTTTGGCGAACGCTCCCCTGTGGAGTGCCCATCTCCTTGCCCTTTGCTCCTTGCCATTGCGTGCAATGTCGTCTGGCGATTGATGTGCCTCTGGGGCTGTGGGGGCAGCACTTCCTCTTGGCAACGTCTGGAATACGCGCTACCTCCTTCTCTCTTCATTATCTCTTGCTTTGCTCTCGTCCGTTCCCTTTCAACTATTCCGTCTTCAGGGTCGCGAATGTATTTTCTTCTTCGCCCTTGTATACATTCATTTTATAACTTTTGTATTGTATTTAGCTTGCTTTTGGTGCGTTCATTTCTTTAGACGCAAAAGTTCAGTTAAGATTCGAAAATGAAACATCAAAGGTAAATACAGATCTGATAACATGCCGTTTGTAATGATTTTTCAAGTAATACAATCTTCTCTATTGCCATTTCAATTGTTTTGTGCAACGTTAAAAAGTAGAATTGCTTTAATGTCACTTTTCATCTCCATTACGAATGTTAAAAACACTTCACATAGTTGAATATTTAAATCGAAAGTTTTACAATTCCAATTGAGACAAACATATCTTTATAATTCCCACAAAACACCATCTATACTACTCAAATAAAAGTATGATAAAATATTTTGTATCCGTAATGTTTATTTCCGATGTATCACATCGCAAAGTTATTTGAACGTACTTTATTAGTTTCTTCCATTTGTGTATTTTTCTTTTCCTTCGGCCTTGTCAACACTGTCCATTATGTGTTCTCGTTTACTCTCTTCTGGGCCTTCTGTGAATAAAAATTTTCGTCATCGTGCAGCGAGCGATAGCTTCGTTTTCTCTTTTAATGTATCTTCTGTAACAGCTTGTTTCCTCTGGCTGGCGCTGTGAGCTCCAGTACACACATCACCGACGAAACCTCCATTCGACTATGTCCTATTCCGTCCCTGCCACCACCCGCAGATCCGTCTCCATTACGCTAGCTCGTGCTATCAAGACGGCACCGCACCGCTGTCGTAGCCGCTCCCTGCTGACCAAATCGCGTTGTTCTTCTTGTTAAAACTAGTTTTTCCGTCTTCTTTTCTAGTACGTGTTCGTCTGTACGTGCCTGTCCTATTTTTCACTTTCAGCTAGTTTACGTTGTTGTTTTTTTTCTCCAGCGCTTCTTTGCCTTTCGTATTCTCACTTTTCCTCTCTGTGAGCTCTCCGCCTCTCTCTCGC